CTGCTCAATGTCACAACCCAGTATAGCGTTTCTATAAACTGTTAGATGATCAAAACGTTTAAGGCCGTAGACGTATCTAATACAACAGTTTACTACAGTTCTCAGTTTAGCAAGGGACTCGTAGTCCAGTTTACAGTACACCAACGCGGCATAAGTAATTATAGGCAATATTAGTTGTCTGACCAATAAGCCACGGACATGGACAGGGGTATACTTAGCAGATAAATTCAAATATCTGAGGCAAATAAATGATTTCCTAACGACATGATTGATATGATCAGAGGCATGTAGCTTTGAATTCAAAATAAATCCTAGACATTTAACTGATGCACTATATTTAATAATTGAGTTTCCAATAGCTACCGATGGTAATTCGTCTAAGTTTAATTCAGACCTACTAAGCGGCAATATGATGGTTTTATCTGCATTTAGCAGCATATTGTTTTCAACCGCCCAGCGATGTATGCATGTTAAATCTATATTGATCTTTGTGACAATGTCATTTAAATTATCACTCCGACACGAATAATACATTTGTATATCATCGGCATATCCATGCAGCTTCAAGAACTGACATACTGAGAAAACGTCATTAATATAGATCGAAAATAGCAATGGCCCAAGAATCGATCCTTGAGGAACCCCAGAAAACAGAAGTTTAAAATTTGAAAATTTATTATCAATAACTACTGACTGAGATCTCTCAGTTAAATAACTAAAAATAAATTTAGAAGCTAAACTGGAGAAGTGGAACTTATCTATGAGCTTTTTACAGAGCAAAGCGTGATCAACTCGATCAAATGCTTTTGAAAGATCTAGAAGGCATAAGTAAGTAACCAAATCCCTATCATAACTTAATCTAATATCTTCAAGGACTTTCAGCAAGGCAGACGCACAACTATGACCTTTTCTGAAACCAGATTGATAAGGAGATAGCAGATGAAAAACGTTTAGATGATTACGAATCTGTTCAGACATTATAGCCTCACACACTTTGGAGAGAGAAGAAAGAATACTGATAGGTCGATAGTCAGAAACTAATGAAGCATTAACTTTTTTCTCAGTTGGAATAACTTTAGCTTGTTTCCATGCCACTGGAAATGTAGAGGTAGTAATACAATAGTTTATAATATGAGTTAATGGAGATATTATAAATGGTGAAATGAGCTTTATGAATTTAAGAGGAATTTCATCTAGCCCAACAGCATTAGACTTAATATTCATTAAATTCTTAAAAACAATATCTTCACTGACGCAGTAAAAACTAAAGCCTTCATTAGCGTCAACAATATTCATATCAAAGAATACTGAAGAAGAGCTACCATTATCCTCTACAGAAGAAACAAAGAAGTTATTTAGAGCATTTGGGTCCATATTGCTTATATTTTTACTTTTTCTTGTAACCCCAAGCATTTTGATATTATTCCAAAGGGTTTTAGTAGATTTAGTACCACCAAGCTTAGATTCATAGTAATCTGACTTAGCCTTAAAAACAGTTCTAGCAGCTACATTTCTAGCAATTCTAAACTTCATCCAGTTATATTCCGTAGGGTACTTTTTCCAAACTGCATATTTTCTATTTCTTAAATTAATAAAACGTTTTATTGTAGTACTAAACCATGGGCAAGAAACATTATTGACGGTAACAGTACGAAAAGGTACATACCGATGACGAAGGCTAAGCAATTTTTTATTAAATGCATCTAATTTTTGATCAACTGAAATACCAGACCAACATTCACTCCATTCAGTTGAATTTTTTGCTTTATGGTATGCAAAATATTTTTGTTAATTTTGCAAAATCGTGCTACTCATGTTTTATATACCAAAATATTCTAATATATATATATTTTTCAAAAAATACTCTACAACATTGTACCACTTCATTAAATTTTATAATTAATTAAATATTAATATTACCTATAAACTCAAAATATAACAGTAACAAATACCTCTAACAGAGTTAAAGGAATTTATGATTATGCTTCAAAAGTAGTTTTTGATAACTTTTTTATTTGCTACTCAATTTTAATAACTTTTTCATCAATGCGTATTAGAAGAATATAAATAATTTGGAAAATTACCGTGCAACATTGTACTACTTCTTGTTATTTTTAAATATATATTGAAAAATACATCAAATGATTGCATGTGCTATGCAGTTTGCAAAAGAAGATTTGTTTTTTGTTTTATGGTATGCAAAATATTTTTGTTGAATTTGCAAAATCGTGCTACTCATGTTTTATATACCAAAATGTTCTAATATATATATATTTTTCTAAAAATATATATTAATATATTTTTCAAAAAATACTTTACAGCATTGTACCACTTCATTAAATTTTATAATTAATTAAATATTATTATTACCTATAAACACAGAATATAACAGTTACAAATACCTCTAACAGAGTTGAAGGAATTTATGATTATACTACAAAAGTAGTTCTTATTAACTTTTTTATTTATATATATATAATTATATATATATAATTTGAAAAGTTACCGTGCAACATTGCACTACTTCTCAGTATTTTTAAATATATACTGAAAAATACATCAAATTATTGCATGTGTTATGCAGTTTGCAAAAGAAGATTTGTTTTTTGTTTTATGGCATGCAAAATATTTTTGTTAATTTTGCAAAATCGTGCTACTCATGTTTTATATACCAAAATTTTCTTATATATATTTGTTTTTCGAAAAATTCTCTACAACACTGTACCATTCCATCAAATTTTATAATTAAATAAATATTAATATTACCTATAAACTCAAAATATAACAGTAACAAATACCTCTAACAGAGTTAAATGCATTTATGATTATGCTTCAAAAGGAGTTTTTGTAAACTTTTTTATTTGGTAAACACTTTCAATAACGTTTTCATCAATTCATATTAGAAAAATATAAATAATTTGAAAAGTTACCGTGCAATATTGTACTACTTCTTAGTATTTTGAAATATATATTGAAAAATACATCAAATGATTGCATGTGTTATGCAGTTTGCAAAAGAAGATTTGTTTTTTGTTTTATGGTATGCAAAATATTTTTGTTAATTTTGCAAAATCGTGCTACTCATATTTTATATACCAGAATATTCTGATATATATATGTTATTCAAAAAATAATCTACAACATTGTACTATATCATCAAATTTTATAATTAATTAAATATTAATATTACCTATAAACTCAAAATATAACAGTAACAAATACCTCTAACAGAGTTAAAGGAATTTATGATTATGCTTCAAAAGTAGTTTTTGTTGACTTTTTTATTTGGTACACGATTTTAATAACTTTTTAATCAATTCGTATTAGTAAAACATATATATTTTGAAAAATTAACGTGCAACATTGTACTACTTCTTGTTATTTTTAAATATATATTGAAAAATGCGTCAAATGATTGCATGTGTTATGCAGTTTACAAAAGAAGATTTGTTTTTTGTTTAATGGTATGCAAAATATTTTTGTTAATTTTGCAAAATCGTGCTACTCATGTTTTATATACCAAAATATTCTAATATATATATGTTTTACATAAAATACTCTACAACATTGTACTATTTCATCAAATTTTATAATTAAATAAATATTAATATTAGCTATAAACTCAAAATATAACAGTAACAAATACCTCTAACAGAGTTAAAGGAATTTATGATTATGCTTCAAAAGTAGTTTTTGTTAACTTGTTTAGTTGGTAGACACTTTAAATAACGCTTTCATCAATTCATATTAGAATTATATAAATAATTTGAAAAGGTACCGAGCAACATTGTACTACCTCTTGTTATTTTTAAATATATATTGAAAAATACATCAAATGATTGCATGTGTTATGCAGTTTGCAAACGAAAATTTGTTTTTTGTTTAATGGTATGCAAAATATTTTTGTTAATTTTGCAAAATCGTGCTACTCATGTTTTATATACCAAAATATTTTAATATATATATGTTTTTCAAAAAATACTATACAACATTGTACTATATCATCAAATTTTATAATTAATTAAATATTAATATTACCTATAAACTCAAAATATAACATTAACAAATACCTCTAACAGAGTTAAAGAAATTTATGATTATGTTTCAAAAGTAGTTCTTGTTACCTTTTTAATTTGATACTCGATTTTAATAATTTGTCCATCAATGCGTATTAGAAAAATATATATAATTTGAAAAGTTACCGTGCAACATTGTACTTCTTGTTATTTTTAAATATATAATAAAAAATACATTAAATGATTGCATGTGTTATGCAGTTTGCAAACGAAAATTTGTTTTTTGTTTAATGGTATGCAAAATATTTTTGTTAATTTTGCAAAATCGTGCTACTCATGTTTTATATACCAAGTTATTTTAATATATATATGTTTTACATAAAATACTCTACAACGTTGTACTATTTCATCAAATTTTATAATTAATTAAATATTAATATTACCTATAAACTCAAAATATAACATTAACCAATACCTCTAACAGAGTTAAAGGAATATGATTATGCTTAAAAAGTAGTTTTTGTTAACTTTTTTATTTGGTACACGATTTTAATAACTTTTTCATCAATTCGTATTAGTAAAATTTATATATTTTAAAAAATTACCGTTCAACGTTGTACTACTTCTTAGTATTTTTAAATATATATTGAAAAATTCATCAAATGATTGCATGTGTTATGCAGTTTGCAAAAGAAGATTTGTTTTTTGTTTTATGGTATGCAAAATATTTTTGTTATTTTTGTGTTATGCAGTTTGCAAAAGAAGATTTGTTTTTTGTTTTATGGTATGCAAAATATTTTTGTTAATTTTGCAAAATCGTGCTACTCAAGTTTTACATACCAAAATATTCTAATATATATATGTTATTCAAAAAATACTGTACAACATTGTACGATTTCATC